ACAGTTTTACGACTAGAGAGAAAATTTCATTGTAGTCAATACATTCTTTTTGCTGAAAACCTTTCACAACCAATCTTGCTTTTTAGCGTTTACTCCCATCGTGCTCTTCTTTGATCCTGTAAATCCACTTGTTGTGGAGTGTTTTCTTGCCTGATGGTAATTCAGCTAATTCCTATTTCTGATTTGACATAATCGAGTCTATCTCATCTTTCATGGAAGACTCTCACTTGACTGAATCCTCTACTTGCATTGCTTCATCATTGCACTCTGGTTCTCCATTGTCAGTCAGTAACAAGTAGTGCAAAGAAAGAGAATACCGCTGGGTTGGTTTAGGAATTCTGGAGGAGCGTCTTAGTTCCGGTGTATCTGGTTCTTCTTGAACTACTTCAGGACTGATCTAAACATCATTTCAAGAAATCTCCTCGAACTCAGCAAATTCTTTTGTTTCAGCTTCGGTGTTGGAGATACTTGAATCTATGATTGATCTGTCTTTGTACATCATATTCTCATTGAAAATGACATCTCTGCTTCTGATAATCTTCCGATTTTCGTAGTCTCAAAACCAGTAACCGAACTCATCACCACCATAACCAACAAATACACATTTGTTGGACTTGGCATCAAGTTTACTTCTTTCAGCAGAGTTTATGTGTACATAAGAAATACAACCAAACACTCTTAAGTGTGAAAGGTTTATTTCTTTCTTGCTCCAAGCTTTCTCTGGTATTCCACCATCCAAGGGAACTGAGGGCCCACAGTTGATCAGATAAGCTGCAGTGTTGATAGCTTCAGCCCATAGCATTTTAGGCAAGCCAGCATGTATCCTCATACTTCTGGCACGTTCATTTAGAGTTCTGTTCATACGCTCTGCTACGCCATTCTGCTGCGGCGTCATGGGAACTGTTGTCTCCGTCTTGATCCCATTATTTGCGCAGAAATCTTTGAATCTTTTATTTTTGTACTCTTTTCCGTTATCAGACCTCAACTGTTTGACTTTCAAACCAGTCTCATTTTCCACCATGACCTTCCATTTTCTGAAGGTATCAAAGACTTCTGATTTCTTCTTCAGAAAATAAACCCACACATTCCTTGTAGAATCATCGATGAAGGTGACATAATATAGTGAGCCTGCAAGGGATGGAACTGGAGATGGTCCCCATACACCAGTATGAACCAACTCTAACTTTTATGCCTTGGGTGTCTTGTCAATCTTTGCAAAACTATCTTTCTTTTGTTTGCCAAAGATACAATTCTCGCATAGTCCGATATCTACACTCTTTAGATCCGACAGCTTCCCTTTTGACAAAAGTGTCTTCATCCCTTTCTCGATCTTATGACCAAGCCTTTGGTGCCATATGTTTGATTTTCCATCAGCATCTGCTGCAACAATGATATTCTCTAAATTTGATGTTACATAGAGAGTACCAGTCTTCTTACCACGAGCAATGACGAGTGCTCCTTTGGTAATCTTCCATTCACAACCTGAAAAGGTTGTGCTATATCATTCTCCATCAAGTTGTCCTACAGAAATCAAATTTCTTTTGAGGCTAGGAATATTTCTCACTCCCTTCAGCGTCCAGGTGGTCTGGTTTGACAACCTTAATCGGATGTCTCCTTTTCCGACGATCTTCAAGGTTTCATCATCAGCTAGATGAACCCTCACAAAATCACCACTGACATAGTTCTCCATGATTTCTTGGCATGGAGTTGAGTGAAAATATGCCCCTTAATCCAATATTCATGATTCAATCGGACTGTTGACTCTTAGAATCATGGCATCACATGCCTCCTCTGTCATATTGGCATATTCCTATGCGCTGGTATCTTTTTTCAGTGCTCGGCAATCTCTTTTAAAGTGACCCTTCTTGCCACAATTATAACAGGTATAATCTTTCTTTCCCATTCTTGATTTTCCCATTCTGGATTTCGATCTGCCACGATTTGAATTTCTTTCTGACGTTCTCCCTCTGGACTCCGTGTGCAAGGCTGAGGAGGTTGATGTTTCACCCGATTCTCTCCGTCGAATTTCTTCGCTCAGTACCACATCCCGAACATTGTCGAATTTCAATTTACTATTTCCTGGCGAGCTGCTAATTGCTGTAACAGTAGCATTCCAACTGTCTAGTAGAGATGATAAGAGAATTAAAGCTCGAACTTCATCATCGAATTCAATTTCCACGAAACTCAACTGGGTTGTAATTTTGTTGATTTCATTTAGGTGTTGAGCCAATGATGTCCCTTCCGCCATCCCCAAATTGAATAATCACCTCATCAAATGAACTTTGTTTGAGGTCGATGGCTTCTCATACATAGTAGAGAGAGTCGCTATAAGACTCGCCATGATCTTTTCCTTTGCTATGTTGAAAGCAATATTTCAGGTCAATGTCAGTCGGATAACTCCGAGGGCTTGTCTGTCGAGAAGAGCCCAATCTTCATTCTTCATGCCCTCTGGTTTCTTTCCTAAGAGATGTTCATATATATTTTTCTAGTACAGAAAATATTCAATCTGCATATTCCAAAAGACAAAGTCCGTACCATCGAACTTTTCAATTTTCATCTTCCCTTCGTCTGCAGCCATCACTCCCACTCGAATATGGCTTCTTTGGATCGTTTCTGACAATTTCTGCGAACCTCCGTGTATTAGAACACCTCCGTCGATAAATTCGTATCGCCGACAAAATTTTACTATTCATAAAATTCAATATTCAAGTGAATAGTAATGAATAGTAACCTCGCAAAAAAATTGACAAAATTCACAACCAAAAGCTCTAATTACCAGTTGTTGGGAAATAAACCGAGTACGAGTAATTTCCCTATATCCAAATTAGTGAGAATGCAAAATAAAAGCGAAAAAATAATACCCGAAATTGATAACGGAGTTCAACCAATTATGCCTACGTCTCCGGACTACTGCAAATTTTTTACTAAGAGAGCAAATTTATAGCTGTTTACAAAACACTTACTACTCACAAGAAAGCTCTCTAGTATTAGGAGAAAGAAATGATTTGGGATGATTTTGAAGCTAAATAAGCTAGGGTATTTATAGTTGAAGCTTAGGGACTAATCTTGTAAATACCCTAAAAAATACAATGACTAAATTTACAATATTTTCATTTCTATTTCAACATTAGCTGCCCATTTATTGCCAGCCGCCCATGTTGCTCAAAATCCCATCGAATTTTTTTTTTGTTTTATTTGACTTTTCAACTCAACAGCTGTAGATATCCATTTTCGTCCGTATTTTTTTATAAACCCAACGCCCCCATCTCACCAGCCTTCCTCACGTAGCAACAACCCACCGAAGACCTCTCGCCCCATGCCTTGATCTCAACAACCAACAAAAGCAAGCAACACAGTTTGATTAGGACTCAAAGACTAATCTAAAAATAGATTATTTAATATTATAAATAAGCTTGTAATCTCATCCGAATGGGGGAATTAAGAGCAAAATACACACAAAAGAATACAGAGTTTTTTAAAGAAATATCGAGGAGATTCATTTAGAAACAAAAGGGAGAGAGGGTACTAACCTCTCGGCCGAAGCCTTTTTTCGGCAACCGAGGGATTCATCTCTTGTCTTCTTCAACCTAAAGCATCACTTTCTGGGGAGCCTCCTCGATCCAAAAGAAGTTTTCATTTCCAGCTTAATCATCCGCGGTCAAATATACTGAAAGAGGGAAGAGGTTTGAGGTGATGACAAATGATAAGCCCTATGTGCGTGAACCAACCAAGTTGGATCTTTGAAGACTGTTTTCTCGACTCGATAGGATAAGGATGGATTAATGGAGATTTGGAAGTTTTTGTATTCGAGTGTTCTAATGCTATAGCTACTGCTTACAAAAACAAAAGATAATGCGTAGACTATGACGTGGTAAGTGGAGTTATGGAGATCAATTGTGTTGTTTGTCTCTTTCTGGAGAAAACTGGGTCTTTAAGGTATATGTCTACATGTTGGTATTTATTTCTTTATTTTATTATCATCTTCTTATCCCATATAATGTGTTAAGTATTAAATCAAGTGTAATTGGTCAAATCATGCTTGTGTTATTCTTTTCAATGGACTATAATCTTTTAATAATAGACCATAATTTCATAGTTAAGTTTGAGTATTTTTTATTTGTTATTTATTTATTTATTTCTTTTTTATTTTTTCCTTTGATTTATTATTTTATTTTCATTTTTTTATGTTTTTTCTTTAATTTATTTAATATTTTTTTCGACTTTTTAAGAAGAATTCTAACTGATCAAAGGTAAACAACTCGAATCGAATGCTTTTAAATTTTAATTTTAATTTTAATTTCAAATTTTTGCAAATAAGATAATCGATAAATTAATTGGTACCGAAAGGGTGGTTCAAGGGTGCTAATCCTTCTTTGACTGTAACCGACTCCTGAACCCGACACGTTTATGGTAAAACGCAGATCTGGTAAGATGGTGTCCGACCCACCTAAATTCGTTCTAAAATGGTCGGTGGCGACTCTAACCCAATTATTCAAGTCGAAGCCTAATTCCGAGCGCAACCGAAAGACGGCCGCGGCATAATATAGGTTAAAATTATTATTATATTATATTATGTCACTATCTCAATTTAAGTTTGAACTTTTCAATAATGACCGTCTAAATTAGATGGCAACCATAAATATAAAGAGTTCTATATATACACAATTGAAGAACAAATTTCCAATTTCAGTTTCTTCCAATATGGTAATTACAAATAAAAACACAATTTGCAATAAATAAAACCCATAAATGTTACATTTGATTATTAAAAGCCATACATATTGATTCTTCTTGATGTTCATATAGATTGGTTCTCACCCTTATATAGAGGTCTGGTTTATAAATATAAATAAACCAAATATATTTTTATTTTGTTCGTTTATTTAATTAATAAATATAAAAGTAATGAATATATTTATTTAATTTAATAAAATCGATAACGCAAATTATTAGAGCAAAACAAGTTCATGTCTTTTGTCTTGATGCTCTCTTTCCCATGATCACGGCCTAATATTATTCAAAATCCCCAATATAATCTGGCAATCAGTACTAACAACATTCGTCTCGTCAATGATATTCTTCGGCACGGCCACCGACGGGTTTTTCTTGAAGAGGTCCGAGCAATACGAAACCATCGGCATAGCATCCCGAGTGATCGCGAGCTTCGCTGCATCGGCCCCTTTATCAGTCAGAAACCGGCCTGCCGACTCGATATTATCCCGTGCCCCAACAAATCTCCACCAGCATTCATCAAGTAGGTTATGAAGTGCAGGGTCCTTCGTGCTCGAGTACACGTTATTCGTATCAGTGTATAGTTTATTGGCATCGCGCGTACCACACGCGATCGATATCATCCCCAAGCCCTTGATGTCGGCTGTTGCGCTCTTCGGATCGCTGTGAAGACATGTCTGGCAAAGACTAGGGTCCGGTGTTCTGTTGCAGACTTCGATTATCGTCGCTTCACTCGACATTACATGGAAGGATTGTAATGTGAAGGTTAAGGTGGTAAGGGAAATGGTGAAAAGGCAGAACCAGAACTTCGCCATTGTTGATGTTTTTGTTTAGTGAATGATAATTTCTTTGTTTACAGTAATTTATTTATATTGCTATTGTTTTGTTAGTGTTTCCTTCTATGAATGATTTTTTACCATTTTTTTATGCTAATTAATTTGCTGATGATAAAATCCTAAACATTAATGTAAATAACTGTTGATTATTGCTTTAAGTAATATTACAGCTCATGTTATTAATTAAATCATTACTTTTATATAACTATTAATATTTAATTTATTAATTAATTAATTTGGATCGGATACTATAGAGCTGAAGTCGACTCTCTCAATCTAATTTGCTTCATTTACAAACATCATGATTCAAATCATTAACTTTGATTAAACAATTTAGTGTCTAATCTTACAAGACTAACGGATTGTTAGTTCGTTGAATCAAACAATATATTTAAAAAAACAATTACATCAAAATAAATATACCCTAATTTTTTAATTCTCATTTCAACTAAATAAACTTAATGCTAATAAATTAAAATATATATTTTTATTGTTTTTATATATGAAAATGAACCATAGATATTTTTTCCCCCGAAAAAAAATACATGTCTTAAAACAGAACACTTGTTCAAGCTGCTGGGAGCAAACAGCAACATCATATGTAACAGATATTTTGTGCACTTGAAATGATTAATCAAAAGCCACCAAAAAAGATTCTTCCTTTATCCTTCTTCTCAGAATCCGAAACCCTTTGCTGCAAATGCTTCAAGCTCTCCTCCTTCCTTCTCCTTCCACCCTCCTCCACCATCCACCATCTTCTTCCCGACTTTTCCTTCTCCAAAACCCCAATTTTTTCTCCCCTTTATCTGCCCACTCCAATGTCCATTTTCGGCCATTGTTAGCAGCGCGAGAACCCTTAAGTACCACCACAGCAGAAGCTGAAGAAGAAGAAGGAAACGATCCCATCGAGTTGCCACCATCTTATTCGTCTTTCTCTTCTTCTTCTCCGCTCCAAACAGCCACCACTGTTTTGCTCTCCGGTGCCATCGCCGCCTTCCTGTTTCGTTCCATTAGACGACGTGCTAAGCGCGCTAAAGAGCTCGTGAGTTCCCGTTCTTGTCTGGTATATTTCAATCATCTTTAAAACTTGGTTGATTACTCTGTTTTGCTGTGTATAGAGATTGAGATCATCGGGGACGAAGAAATTATTGAAGGAAAAGTCACTGAACAAGTTGAAAGCAATGGGGTCTGCTTCAGTTAAAACCAAATCATCGAAACCAACACCAGTTGATGCATTGCTGGGAAGCTTGATTGCCGGTGTCATTACTGTTTTTCTCTTTAAGTTCACCACTACCATTGAGGCAGCTCTTAGCCGCCAGACAATCTCTGATAATTTCTCGGTTTGTCCTCTCAATTACCCTTAACTGTGGCTCATTTTAATTGTTTCTTATAGCTTTTAGCTGCTTAATTCTTGGAGTAGGTGAGTAGTGTGACCTGTAAACATACATGACCATTAACCGGACTCTACATTTATCCTATAGTATTTGTATCCATCACTGTGTCTGATATACATTCGAGATATGATCCTTCAAATATATAAAAATCGATCGAGTATACCAGTGTCGGGCTTATCTATAGCTGAAACTAATGTATACAGGGACCTTCATGTAGTATAGGGTGCTTCTGGATTTCCTTAACAAATAATTCTGGAATAAGAGGGTCCTTTGAAGGGTTTCCTTTGTGGATCATAGCCTACGGAGTCTCATATTCTATGACTAATTATTCTTATTTGGTAAGACTTTTTACATGATTATTGACAAACGATCATATTCATTCAATCTACTGATTACGAGTAGTCATTATATAAACTTAAGCCTAATATTGGCATCATGAGTCACTATAAAACTCTTCGGTCAAGATTACGGGAGGGGACTTTTGGATGATCTTGGTCTTTTTCAACATTTTTCGTCTTCGTTTTTTCAGTTCCCCCCTTTAAATCAGATGTCTAGAGTTGTCTACAATACTACCATGAATCACTGACTATGACTCTATGTCCCAATCAAAAGAGATGAATTGTCTATAATCGTTATAACTTAAATGTTACCGTCAGTAATTTATTTAAACGTTGTCATTTTTCTCAAGCATTTTTCATCTTTATGCTTTGCAGGTTCGTCAGATAACAATAACTATCAGGTAGTTCCTTATTAATCTATGTTGCGTCTACTCTTCATTTTAGTTATAATATCTGTTTACGATATCTTTTTCCGATATATATATATTTGAATATAGGTGTGGGAATATGGCCTTCAAAGGATTCTTCTAATACATGAATTTTTTTTTAAAAAATCGATCACTCGTGTTGAACATATACTCGTATCCGGTACGTACAATAATGTTATTAGTATTCATTATTGGTCTCATACCTTAATATGCTGATTTGTAGGACTATTGTGAATGGATTGTGCTACCTTGCAACATTTGTTTATGGCTTCAACTCTCTTGGTTTGTTCCTTTATTCTGGCCAACTCGCCCTGAGTCCAATCATGGAAGGTTCCATGATTAATGAAAATGAGAATAAAGGTGAGCAGAATGTTGGCTCACTGAGTTCAGTGAAACAAAATGCTGTGGAAGGGACTGAGTTGACTAATAGCAGGGAAAGGGAGGATCGGAACCCAGATGATAAACAATAAAAATGGAGATTGTGTTCGTGTTTGTGTTATTTTCTCGTATATAATCTATGCTCGAATCTCATGTTATGTATATTTGACATATTTTATTTATAAAGGGAAAATGTAAATGTTACATCATCAAATCGATTTAAATGTAATAGAACAATAACGATATCTTTAAGATGATATTAATTATTTTATTCTCCGTTGGGCTATCACATAATATAATTAAAAAAATCAAAATGTTAATTGATTGTCCTTAATTAAAATATTTCATAGCTAATTCCAATGTTATCTTCCATTACTAACCAAAATCACTTTTAAAAATATCCAAAACTAGATCTGTAGGAAATAAATAAATAATAATAAAAGGACTATGTATTCTAATCAATCAACTAAAACTATAAGAACTATGAAATATACCCTAAAATAACCATGAGAAAAAGAACTTGGATCAAATGACATTACCGGAATTCTGAGGAGATGCCGGTTTTCGTGTCTCGTACCTCAAATCTCAGGGAAGCTTAAGGATCCTAGAAGAATGAGGAATGTCTTGTGCTTGAATAGATGAAAAATGGAGGAAACTAGGACACGGAAATCACCCGAGGCTAAGCGGAACAGCAGCCAGTGTTCTTGACAGATGAAACATCATCCTTGCCGCCGACATTGATGGAGTGTCCCTTGGGCAATGCCCCATGATTATCACCTACTTCAAGTGCTTTTCGGCTGACAACCCTGTATACTTCAGTTAGCACCTCGGTGAATGCATCGTCAACATTCGTGGAATCAAGTGCAGACGTCTCCATAAAGAAGGTATTTTCTCTTTCAGCAAATGCCCTGGCATCCTCGGAGGCAACGGCACGCAAGTGTCGCAGGTCTGCCTTGTTACCAACAAGCATAATCACGGTACTGGAATCCGTGTGACCCCGTAGTTCCTTCAGCCATCTCTCAACATTCTCAAATGTGACACGCCGAGTGACATCATAGATAAGCAATGCACCGACAGCTCCTCGATAGTATGCACTTGTAATTGCCCGGTATCTGCAAAAAAAACAAAACAATAAATCAGCTCTCAGAAAACTTTCGAAACAATTGACTTACAGGAGAAAGTGTGATTCAAATATAAAATCATTTCTATCTTCATTTTACACCAATAACACCTCAAACAAATGCACTTGAATTAGTGACGCCAAAGTCGGTCGAGAGATTTTTACATAGCATAGACCTTGCACACCCTTCCAGAAATTCCGGCACCCAAAACATTCGAGACCAAGGAGAGCCAACCTAGAATTTTCATTTCGTTCCCTAAAGCTTCTCGATGCAGTTTTTATTTAATTCAGAGAAATGTAAAAATGCAATTCATACAAGTCCGAACATCAGAGTTTATGGATAAAAGGATCATCGGAACTGAAAGAGACACTTGACAACATGCTCAATTCATGGATAACGTGAACTTTAACACTAAAGCAAGATCAATCTATAGAATAAATACAGCAACAAAATGTAAAACTAAACGAAAATCTTGCTAAAACAAACCATTAAAAGATGATCCGTGGATCAGATACACAAAGGATTTCCTCTTGATCTATATCCTAAAGACGCTTGCAAATACAGTTTGAAGATTCAACTAGAACTTTTAAGAGAAGTTGGTTTTCTTTTCTTCAACATTTTCAGTAATGAATCAAATCGTAACATATATCTATGAATTTTCCCTAAGCGCTGTCCGTTAGTAAACAAACTGAGATTTTGTATATAATCTAATACATGCTAATTTCTAACCCAAATTGAGTTCCATAACCTGTCAATCAACAAAGTTGCATTTCACATAGGCTTAAACATGCACCAATCTAAAAGCAATCCTATTTTTTAGCAACCAAGCAATCCTATTTTCTTAGCAACCAAGCAATCCAACGAACAACACAAATTGCTCAATTTCACCAATCCAATACACTAATCTAATAATCATATTCTTTTCCTCAAACCAGTAAGAAACTCTGAAAAAACCCGAAAACCCAAATGCAAGAACATAACAAAACGAAACAAAATGAGAGTATGAGAATGATGCGAGTGTAGCTTTCCTCCATTTTCTCAGCAACCAAATAGAAATCCAAATTTCAAAATGCACATTCTAATAATTCAATGCACCAATACGGAAAACACCCAATTTCCCTCGAATATATCAGAATTCAAAAACTTTACAACTAATAGAAACCACCAGAAAATAAGTAGAAGAATGAACCTTTCTTGTCCAGCAGTGTCCCAAATCTGGGCCTTAATGACCTTCATCGACCCGAATTGTCCAACAAATTCGATTTGCCAACACCCGAATCGCCGATCAACACCACCTTGAATAAGAGATCGTAGTCATCGTCCGCTCTATAAGCCGCCATATTGGCTCACCGGTTCAGGTTCCTTTATGGAAATATATATATATGAAATTGTATCAAATGGCAAAGATGAGTGGCACCAGAGAAAGAGTTTGAATTGGGGAAAAAAATTAAAAAACGGTCATTGAACTATTTTAAAATAAAACTTTTAATACTAAATTTTTAAAATTATAAAATAAGTATTAAATTTTGGGTAATCACACAATGATCTCTTGACTATAGAATGTTACTTTGTTGAATCCCTCAACTATTAAAAGTTACAAAATGATCTCTTGATTATAGGACATTGATTTATTGAGTCCTCAACTATTAAAAGTTATAAAATGGTCATCTGACTATTCATATGTTTCAGACTCATATTTTTCAGTTAAAAAAATAACGGTTGTCTAAACTAGATTTTAACCTATAGACTGAGATATGATAAAATATGATCACAGAACCGTTTGAATTATATTTTGTCGATCGACTTTTCGTTTACATTATGTGATTGAGTCAGTGCTAGAAACATTATATCGTCGAGTCAGTGCTCGAAAGCAATGGCGATGTCAGTAGACATTATTAAAATATGATTATATAATATCTCAATAAGCAAGTTAACTTCCAAAGGTTGTCAATTTTAACAAAAAATGACGAGTTTGGAACATATGATTAGTCATTTGACCATTTTGTAACTTTTCATTGTCGAGAGACTTAACAAAATAATACTCTATAATCAAAATATAATCTTGTAACTTTTAATAGTCAATGAACTCAATAAAACATCACCTTATAATCGAGAGATCATTTATATATTTTACCCTAAATTCTTAAATTTATTATAAAATGAGCATTGCATTGTTACTATCATCCGTAACTGTTAACTGGAATGATGTAATACATAAAATTAATAATATATTATATCTTATTTGACTTATAAATTTTAATTATTTTTTATAAACAAACACTTTTGATCGATTGATTAAGTTGTTCATTTTTGTTTCCTCATTTTTTTTAGGTCATGAGTTCTATATTTATTAAGAGCACTTTCCATCTTTCTCTAGAGCTTATCTTCCATATAGGATTAAGAATGTTTAGAATTTATCAAAAATTAATTTTTTATATATATTATATTTTTAAATAATAATTAAATAACTTTTTAATTTTTTTTAAAAAAATATGAAATTTCATAATTATTTTTAAAATATATATATTAAATAAATATATTACTATTAAATTTAATCTATGCTTTATTAAATATATTTATTATTTAATATATTTTTCTATCGATTTTACCATTGATTTAGAATGGCAAAATCTTCTCTCCAAAAATACCCAACATTCACCCTCAATAAAATCCCACCAAATGTCAATTAAACTTCGTTTCCTTATCAAAAGAAATGCCCACAATGGCAAACTTCATTTCCACCACCACCACGAATGACTCTAACCATCAAAACCACCACCACCAACCGTCGTGGGCCGACGAGTTCCTCAACTTCTCATCGACACGTCGCGTAGCCCATCGCCGTTCCATCAGCGTCGATTTCATAGCCTTCCTCGACCAACCATTGGAGGAAGAAACTAGGGGGGTCATCAATGCCATGATGACAGAACCAAACATGTTCGACCGCCTCGACGACGAGCAGCTCAAGGCCTTATTCACCGACGATGTCACGTTGACCGTGCCACCGATGACGACAGTTTCTTTGACGAGCCCTTCCACGCCGCCGATGTCCGATCAGAATAGCAACAACGATGAGAAGCCGACACAGGGAGAGGTGGAAAGTTCATGCAAAGTACACGAAACACAAGCTTCGGAACCTCCATCGACCTCCAATGGCAGTGATCCGATCATTGATCCAAAGAGGGTTAAGAGGTAAAAAAAACATATATCGAACAAAAACAAAACAAAAATCAAAACCCATTAAAGCTTATTTTTTTCAATGAATTATTTAATTTGTTTTGATGGATTATAAGAATTCTGGCAAATCGGCAATCAGCGCAAAGATCAAGAGTAAAAAAGCTGCAATATATTTCAGAGCTTGAAAGGAGCGTAACAACATTACAGGTATACAAGCATGCATGCATGTATATATATATATATATATGTGACAGCTTTTTTACGTATTTTTCTACGTAACGTATTGTTCATTTGTTTGTTGAAAAATGAAGACGGAAGTATCAGCATTATCGCCGAGGGTTGCAGTTCTGGATCGGAAAAGATTGATGCTTACTGTTGAAAATAGTGCTTTAAAGCAAAGAATTGCTGCTTTGGCTCAAGACAAGATTTTCAAAGATGGTAACACCACTTGTTCGTTAATTATTAATTACCATTATAATTTTAAGGGTAAACTACATTAGATATATTCTAACTTTAGGTGATATATGATTTATACTAATGAACTTTTAATTGTTCTAACTATAATATTATATTTTGATTTTGATATTAATTATACTACTAGACCGATAAAATTCAAATGGTATAATAATATGGACTAAACGATATCGTTTTGGTGCGACTATTGACATAAAAAACAACTTCCTTTATGCACTAAACTTTAGAAATGTATTGATTTTGTCACTAAACTTTTAAACATATCACTTTTTGTCACAAATACTTTTTTCATATGTTGATAGTAGCCAATCACTTCTATCATTAGTCAGTTTTCATGACAAGATCAATATCAAAACATTCGCATTTCACTCGCCATTTTTCTCAACGTAGGATTGATTTTCCATGAAACTCACTCACAATGAATGAAATTAAACAAAAAATCCATCATTTTTAGGACGTGGGTTTGGGAAGTTTGTTCAAAAATTCCAATGGAAAGAAGCATTATTTCGATTAGATGAACAACATACTTTAAAACTATCCTCGTCGAACGACCATAAAAGGATATTGGAGTATTAGCACATTGAACCTTTGGATTGATTTTTTGTCGATTTTGAGTGAGTTTCTTGAAAAATTAATCCGATGAGAAGAAAGAAGAGTGAAATGTGAACATTTTGATATCAATCTTATCATGAATTACGACCAGTGACGGGCAACGATTGGCTGTCAGCAACGGTCGAAAAATTTTATAGCATAAAACTAAATATTTGTTAAATTTTAGTGCCAAAAGCGATACAACCCTAAAATGACATTATTTTAGACATAAATACTGTCAAAACGACATCGTTTTGTCCATTTCAACATAACTACATCCCTAATTTTAATTAATTGAATTAATTATTTTTCTATAAGTTATGTCAATGATTATTTATATATATATATATATATAAGGGGTGTATTCGGTTCGGTTCTGTTTTTCACTAAAAATGAATCGAACCGCACTTTGCGGGTTTCTAAAAATTGAAACCAAAACCCAAATTGAATGGCATAAAAGCATAGGTTTTGGTTCGATTTTGCATTTTTGACTATTCACTATTTTTCAAACTCAACCTACAAAAAAAAGTAAATTTAAAGCTTAAATCGAGTGTAAATATATAAATTTAAATTCATAAAAAATAATTTTATTTATTTAAATTTGTTATATAATAAATTCAAAATGAATTTGTTTTGTATATTTATTTTTTTAATTTGATTTGATTCGATTCAAACGGTTTCCATATGGAAAACCTGAAACCAAACCGAATTATATATTTATTTTTTAAACCACCGCAAATTGAAAAATCCGAACCGAACCATATAATCCGATTCGAATCTATTTTTCGGTTTACACGGTTTGGTTGGTCAGCCCTAATATATATATATACACAGTGCGATGCAAATTCCATTATAAAATGTGTTTAAAATTACCTCGATCAGATCATCAAGAAGCATTGAAGAGGGAACTTGAGAGGCTAACACAGATATATCAGCATCAACAAAGCCTGAAGAAAATGAACGAAAACCACCCTCCGCCGCTGCCGCAGAATGGAGGACCACAACTTGAGGGAATGGATCACTTCATTTGCGAGCAAGATATCGTTGAGAATCTGCCGGCCTTCTATAAATGCCACCTGTGTATTGATGATTAACTTTCTAACCATCGACTTGCACCTTTGCGCCCATTTTTTTTCGGATTCTCTACTTTCAGAATTAATCCACGAAGGAAGAATTGATATTCGTCGACAATCTGCCTTTCTTAAAGAAGAAAGAATCACACAAAATTGCATAGGTCCAAGAATGAATCGAGGTGTACTCGAGACGATCATACTCTTTGAAAATTTTAAATTTTCAAATAATTTAAGTTTTTTTATATTATTATTGATAATCTAATTTAATAAACTCTAAATTCTAATATAACTTAATGAAAATTCACATTTTGGACATAAAATCATGTGTTCATGTATGTACATGTCACTCTTCATAAAATTCCATCCGGGCACATCGCTCTTCAACCATGACTAAACCATATGACCTTTGTAAGCAAGACTAAATAAAAAAATCAAAAATAAAAAAAATAGAAAAATAAAACCAAGCTAATCACACCACTAATTATAGATTGTTAAAGTTTCCTTCTATGATCATATTTATACTTCATTGTATTACCATTTTTAAATTATTACTCTTATTTTAAATTTATCTTTAAATTTGGTGTCATTGACCACCAATGTTAGGACAACATCATTGATTAAGAAAACACAAATATCAAAAGTTATTACTTTGTTTTTCAATGTAAGGTTAATATCTTTTATTTCTAAACCGTGACACAAACACAGAGAAAAAGGCATAAGCATGAGGCAAGAGCAATTACAAACAGGAGAAATTAGCCAACAAATGAGCACCTTCATTAATGGAGGTTGGGGACCACTCTCCATCTTTTGAACAGATGGAACCAACGGCCTCAACGACAACTTTCAACCTTGTCGGATTCCCGGACGGATAGAGATCCATTCAACACAAACTAAAACCTGGCACTTTCCGACTGGTCGTAAATTAAGGAGGATCTTTAGTGTCGTAAATCTTATGCAAATTCGCCTTCAAAACCAATCTACCCCATCTGTTCCTTTTAATATTTTTAAATACTGCCCTCGTTAACAATCAAAGTGTAGTTGACAGTATAATAATAAGATTGAATTTTAATATTTACGAATGAAATAAATTAAGTTAAAAAAATCATCTTAGGCATTTATAAAATTCGATATGAAGTTCTGGATTACGATCAATAGGACTCAAGATCTCTAAGGATAATAATATTTTTTTTACCATTAAAATCACTTTATAGGTTCACAAATAAAATATTTTAAATTTGAAGAACAAATATAATTTGATTTTTTTTCAGATTGTCATATAGTAATTATTAACTATTATTATCTACATTTTTTTTATTTTTGTCTATTTTAACTTTTTATTAAACAATTTTACCCTTATAATTACAAATTTTACATGAAGTTTTGCTTTTTTTTTAAAAAAAAATCTTTCATTATTAGTAAGATTAGAAATGATTATTTAATAGTTATAAATATATCATTCTATCGTTAAAATAAAACAAATATTAACATTTAAATCATAATCATCAATATATTTATTAATTATAATAATCAGGTCATTTAATTTCTCAATTGTTACAATAAGATCAGTCGATTAAAACTAAAAAATACTGTCCATTACAAATTTAACGGTAAAATAATATTTTATAACTATTGAATAATGGAACGACTTGTTTATAAATTTAAGTGGCTATTTATAATTTTATTAATAATTGAAAACCTGTAGTGTAATTAACCCAAATATTAAATAATTTGACACCGATGCACTCTTTGCTGGCTGTATATAAACAGAAAGATAAAACCTTCCACATTCCTCTAAAAATTTTCTTAAAACTATTTCCAGCGCCATAGAATTTCCAGAGAAAAATGGCTCAACAACGTTTATTGCTCCTTTTCATCTTCCTTTTCTATTTCTCTTCTTCCCCATCCAACGCCCGCTTCATCACTGGCCGTTCATCTCCAACCGATCTCGTTTCCGATGGAATCTCCACCGTCAAAAACCCACCGTACCTCCTATTCAAACCTCTAGTTTCAGCCGAGGAAACGTGTGAACAGACCTATGGGTTCTTACCCTGCACCACCACGGCCCTTGGGAACTTGTTTTTGATAATTGTTTATGGATGCCTTACGTTTTTAGCTGCTACTTACTTGTCCAATGGAAGTGAGCTTTTGCTTGAGATCCTCGGTCCCGGGATCGTCGGAGGATTGTTCTTGCCTATTCTCGGAGCTCTTCCCGATGCGATGCTTATTCTTGGTAACTTTAAAATAAATTTGTCTTTTCATTTGAATATTTTTCTGTGTTGTTTGATTGGGGATTAAATGAGTTATGATCTAAGCTTTAGTTTTCATTGGTTGATTGCTCAGAAAATGGAACCAAAAGATCGGAAAGTTTAAACTTTAGATCTTATCTTTATTTTTTATACATATGTATTCAATTTATTAATAGACTAATCTAAACTATTCCATATCTTTAATTTTAGTTAACAGTAAAGATTCAAAATTCCCAGTAATTTAGCATATTTATTTGGGGTTGGATTTTTGTTTACTACTTCACTCTTTACACTCAACTATGTTTTCTTTTTCAAAATTATCACGGTTTCATTTTGTTCACCCGCCACTAAACAATTAACAGAATTACGGGTGACCAGAATGAAATAAAAACATGACATTAGTGATAATTTTTTTTTTAAAAATTAGGTGATCAAAATGAAACTAAAGTAATAGTTGGATGACTAAATATGTAGTTTTCCTTCTTTTTTATATAGTGGATTATTATTCTAGAAATTTGATTTTTTACTGTAATTATTTTCTTTTCTTTTTCAATTTTTATTGGAATATCCTATCCTTGTTATTTTGGGGTATTATTTATAAAATATGATCTTGGATATTTAAACATTTTGCATATGGACCACAGTGGATAGAATTAATTATTGAAACCTATTGCCACCCCGCTATTGCCAAATGTCTCTTTTGCAAGAGACTTTTAGCAACCCTTTTCTGACTCTTTCAAGAACTGGATTTTCACCTAAAAAAATCAATAATAAAATTTAAAAAATGGGTTTTTGATGTGAACTCCAACGAGATTTGAATCTTACCAATCAAGCTTAATTAAGAAGAGCATGATATATTGTTAATTTTGTTAGTTATATATATATTTTTACAAAGAAAATAGATATTATATGACCTTTACAATCATATTAGTACTTCTAGGTAACTAAATTGAGCTACATCATGCTAATAATCACACTACTAATTTCTATACAAAACAGTTAAATAAATGGAAAAAAGAAATAAAAACTAAATTAGATCAGTAACATGTTTGCTTATGTTACTACTAATTGATTGAATTTCTTTCATGATATAGAGACAGATAGTTTGTTCATACTTTCTAATCTTTTAGAAGTCATAAGTTCCTTTAAATGATCATCTGGCCTCGTTTACTCAATAGTTTTACTTGCATCTGGATTGGTTTTAATTTGGTTTGTTCTTTCCAGTATCTGGACTTTCTGGAACCCCAGAAACTGCTCAAGATCAGGTCTCCGTTGGAATGGGGTTGCTAGCAGGGTCAACTGTCATGCTTATCACTGTGATATGGGGGTCCTGTGTTATCGTTGGCAGGTGTGATCTTCATGACTCGGTTGCAGTTGATGGAACCAATACCAAAGGATTTCACCTAACAGGTTTGCCACTCTGCTTTACATTGTTCTTGGTTATTTAGCAATAGCTGGTTGAGGAGTTGTTATTATCTATGTTACTCGGACATTGGGGTGTGGTCGGGGATAAATGTCAGATACAGGTATGTGTTCCTGTATGCTCATTTTTTCCCAAGCTTTTGCTAATATTTAGAGAATCATATCCCATGCCCATATTTGAATATCTCATATACAATGTCGGACACTAGTACTTTAGAGAAAATAAAGAGTTGAAGCAACATAGGTTATTATAACATGCATTATGCAGTCAAAAAGTCCATTAGGCCTAATCCTAAATTACTGATTTGAGTGTAAGTCAGATGCAAGAATATATCAAATACGAGTACGTCATATCCTTATAAATGTGTCATCATTTGTCGAAAACGGGAACTTCAAGAAAAATGAAGTTTGGCTGGAAAATTTGGGGTGAATCTAATCTTCAATGGCAGGTTATTCGCTAATCTAAAGTGTGTTCAATATTGCAGAGAGTGGTGTGAGTACAGATATTTGGACTTGCTATGCTGCAAGGATAATGGCTATATCAGTTATCCCATTTGTTATTGTTCAACTACCACAAGCTCTCGATTCAACTTCAGGAAGACATTTAGCTGTTTTGATTGCACTTATTATATCAGTATCAATGTTGATTTCATATTGCGTTTATCAGGTAATAAAAATTCCCAGGAAAAAATTCCATCGTTATATGTATGTAATGTATCCATAGTTGATATTCGGATATGCATTGAACACCACTGTCAGACAGAAGTAACTTCAAGAAAAATGAAGAGTTGTAGCAACATAGCTTCACGAAACTTTTACTCTTCTAATAGTTGTATCTTATGATATACGTAATTTGTAGGTCTTTCAGCCATGGATCCAGAGAAGACGACTAGCTTTTGCGAAGCACAAACATGTCATATCAGGAATCTTAAGACACTTGAAAAAGCAAGCTTTTGGAAAGCTTCTTACTGAGGATGGTGAACCTAATACAGAGATTATAAAAAAGTTAGTTTTGGACTTTTGAGTTTTGACATTTAAGCAAAAATTTGCCATTTCTGCTGGTACTTCAGTTTTCATGTACACTACACACGTCAAACAGGTTGTTCGAGGCAATCGATGAGGATCACAGTGGTGGTCTTTCACATTCTGAACTGAAAGCATTTATTATAGGAATCCGATTTGAAGAGATAGACTTGGATAGGGATGATGCTGTGAGGAAAGTAATGGCGGATTTTGATACCTCCCTCGACTCCGTTGTTCAGGAGGCGGAGTTCATAAAGGGAATCACAAAGTGGATTAATGAAGCAAAGCAAACTGGGGGAGCTTATCTCGAACCTACTGCTGGAACGTTCAAGTTTATTGACCGATTTCACCAGGTAAGACAAGCATTGACGATTTCTCTGGAGATAATATTTATAACTTACTCGAACTGAATTCTTCGAATTATACTGCATATCTGCAGGAAACCAAGAGAGAACATGCTTTGTTGGGGTCTGAGGAACAAAGTGATGAGGTTGTTGAACATGTTGAAAATCCTAGGTTGATCTCCTTCAAAGCAGTACTAATGTTGCTGATAGGTACCTTGATTGCAGCTGCGTTTGCAGATCCACTTGTAGGTGCAGTCGATAACTTTTCCACCGCAACAAGTATTCCATCATTCTTCATCTCATTCATTGCATTGCCATTGGCTACCAACTCAAGTGAAGCCGTTTCAGCCATTATTTTCGCCACTCGCAAAAAGAAGAGGACTGCATCATTAACTTTTTCCGAGGTTTATTTCTTGTTACCCCACTTATTTGATCATCAAGCTAGCATATAAAACCTAATCTCCGAGTTTTGCGATACAGCTTTACGGAGCAGTAACCATGAATAATGTCCTCTGCCTGTCGGTTTTCTTGGCACTTGTTTACGTCCGGGGATTGACATGGGACTTCTCATCCGAAGTGCTGGTTATTCTCATTGTTTGCATAGTCATGGGAGCCTTCGCTAGTTTCCGAACTACTTTCCCGCTCTGGACATGTTCAATCGCATACATTCTTTATCCATTTTCGTTGGCACTCGTTTACGTTCTCGATTATTTCTTCGGCTGGTCGTAAGTTTGTGTATGGTGATGCTAGTCAAGGAGGTAAGGGAATTTGTTTGAGTTTTCTCCCCCTTAGACACTTCCTTTCAGAGTGACTTTTCCGCATATATTTGTATTTTGCAGCAGTGTGTTCCTCAGTTTATCTAATATCCACAAGTTAAATAGCTCCATTATGTAAGTTCAATGTTTCCATTTCGAAGTAATAAAGATTATATTCTCGTGTTATCCGAACTCTTCATTTTTGTTTCCGAAGTTAAAGAAGCAAAATAAAAGAAAACCGAAACCCGAAACCTGAATCGATCTATACATTATTCTCTCAAGTATTCATGTCAAATACCCGTATTCAACAAAATGATAAACATACATATCAGATGAATATCTATATTAAATGTTTATCCCATGGCTTAGCAGCACTTTCTTACTCTTCTCCTTTTAATATAATCACAACTAATCAAAATTTAACAGTTCAATCGATTACAATTTACGTAAATTTACAAGCATTGCTAATCGAATCAACCAAAAGGACAAGCACGGTATAGTTTGGCTTAGACGTTTGAAAGTTCTGGTTTTTTCCCCCGGGGGGGGGGGGGGAAATTTCAGAACAGTAACTGAAGAATACCAAAAGAATCAATCATACCAACCTAATTGCTTCGATCGTACATCGAGTTGAATGTCATTGTAGCATACGACATGGTAAGATTTTCTGATGATGATGATGCATTCCCTTCTTTGCTTGTGCTTCCGGTAATCATGTCGGATTTCTCTTTGTGAGCTCTTAGATTCATAAACTCGGAGAGCAGGCCAGGTCTTGATATATTCCGGTCATCCAATGGATCCTCACCGGTTAGCATCTTCACCACTTTGGACATGGATGGCCTTTTGACGTTGATAAGAAGAAAAACATCAGTTATCAAAAGAAATAAGGCCTAACAAACGAGTAGGAACAAAGATAATAATATAAGCTCATGCAGCACCTTTGCTTCGGCATGTCTTGGGTGCAAAGTAAACCGATCTTTAAGAACTTCTGAGCTTCTTCATCATCATAGTCTCCACTCATCGACACATCGACTAGTTCCGCAAGTTGTCGTCGTTCATACAATTCCCATGCCTGCAGTTATATATCGACTTAGCAATCAGTCTTAAAATCCTACGTCCAACAAAAAAAAAGGAGTTCAAACAGATGAAGTTGGAGAATATATAAAAATACACTGTACATTTTGACTAGGGTTAATGAGGCAACGCCTATATTTACTAGGATTTAGAGTTGAGTGTTGGATATGTACACAAGTATGCTAAAATTTTTTCAAGTTTTTCCATATACTTTAAGGATCATACATACCCCATAACTACGTTCTCATATGTTTCGGATGTAGGTATCGAATACTTCGAGTAAAATAACGGATTGGTGTAACATAAGGCAACGCTTTCGTATCATGCAATTTATCCACACTCAAACTTTTCTGGGATTAGGATATCGAAAACCAGCAAACAAACTGTAGGATCAATGGAGATTGAATACGAGTCGAAAGTGGGTTATTATCTCTCTGTGTTTCTGCATATAAAGACTATCGAAGCTATACCTTAGACCGATGATATATTAAGACTCGGATGGCCCTAGCATTGAAGGCTAGAATGATACGAACGTATGGGAAATTCATACCCTTTCAAGAAGATATTGATCCGACAATGGTAATCTCCTGTTCGTGTTGCATCTACCACTCACAATCTCCAATAGCAGAACACCAAAACTGTAAATATCGGCTTTCACCGTCAGCTGACCTCGTATAGCATACTCAGGAGCTAGATAACCTCTATATAAACAAAAAAAGGATAAACGACAAAGTTAACAACGCTGAATGGAAGTCAGGGATATTTTTAACAGCTCTAATCTCTGTTACTCGAACTCAAGTGAGAGTGTCGGATGGTCCATGAAGGATCACATCCTCATATCCATGTCTAGACACATCTGATAATCCTCAAACAATGGTACTTCAAGAAAGTGACAACAAAAACAGGTTAAACATGATAAATGAGGATATGAAGATCATATTTTTTAAGAACTCACGTGGTTCCAGCAACTCGTGTACTAATATGAGTCATGTTGTCAGGGAAAAGCTTTGCCAGACCGAAATCCGAAATTTTGGGCATGAGGTTTCGATCAAGGAGGATATTGCTTGCTTTGATGTCTCTATGAACAATACAAGGTCGAACCTCCTCGTGAAGAAAAGCAAGCCCCTTTGCAACGCCGATGCAAATTTTACGTCTCGTAGGCCAGCTGAACTGCATGCTGCTATGGTCTCCGCCTAAGAGGTAAAGAGCCCTTAGCTTATTATTGTTCGAGCAGTTAACAAGCACGAATCCAGAATAGTAGAACTTACCGAGAAGAGTTTGTGCAAGGCTGTTATTCTCGAGATAGCCATAAACCAAGATTCTGTGATCTCCTTCCACGCAACAACCATGAAGCTTTACCAGGTTTTCGTTCTCTATATCAGCAATCACATTTATCTCAGTCAAGAACTCTCGCACCCCTTGCCTTGAATCAGAAGACAGAACCTTTATAGCAGCCACGGTACCATCTCGGAAAGTTCCCTATTCGAACAAAATCGATTGGTAAGAAGTCTACATTGGATGTTAAAATAATAAAACAGTCTTAGTTTCTTCAAGAAATTCTTAAAGCCTTCTTTTGAAAAGATTAGAACAAAAACGAAATTCGGAATCACCTTGTAGACAATACCGAAACCTCCCTCTCCGATTTTGTTGGAATAATTAAAATTTCCAGTTGCCATTTTCAGCTCCTTGTAAGGAAACAGTCTAGTGTTCTGAATACCTGAAACCTCTGTAAAATGAGTAGGAATTAGGAACTTCTGCAAACAAATAGTAATACATATAGATCTAGGAACTTGGAAGCATTTTCCAGGATTGCAGGCGGGTTTTATCAAGCACGGTAGTCGAAACCTATTAAAGAATTCGGAGAAATTATGCCGTTCATCAGGGTTACCTACATTTTCATCCTTTTTTCAGTGCATTGGATTATGTCGAAGTCGCATAAACTTCGGTCAATTCAGTATCATTATCCAAGCCGAATTCTATAGCCCGAGACAAAACATAAAAGAAGGTTAGCAGCATACCTTCATCAATATCGATTCTATGTTCAGCTGGGGAAGCTGTCTTCTTTTGTGAGAATAAAAAAGAGCAACAAGTCATCACCAGCTTGAAATGCCTAAACAAAAATCGGAACTCCGCCGAGCCACTGAAAAGCACCAACCAAGAGTCATCATCCTCTATGTCCATCAGAAAGAGTAATGTAACTGTTACATCATTCCCATAGGAAAAAATATCTAAAGGAAAAGGTCAATCTATCGCTGCGAGTAACGTTCGATGATAATCTACAACAACCACCTTACTCATTTCAGTTTTATGCTTAATATGGCTAAGAATGCTAATATCAATGGCAATGAATCTCGAATGACGTTCATTCTCTGCTATAGCATCTTAAACCGTGTCTACCAGAGCAAAGAAACAATGGTAAACCATCTCGAATCGTGTTTGTAATAGGACTTGTAAGCATCTTAAGCAACAAGACAATTCGGCACAAGAGCCGTGAGAATGCTTCAGAGTAAACAGAAGGTGTCGAAAACCATATCGAATAAACAATCTCCACTGAAAAATTGAATGATAAGGAACACCGGAAAAGGAGATTTTGTTTGAATTATGTGATAAGCCAGTTATAGTCCATCATTAGCATATGAAAGAACATATGATCAAATATTCATAGTCGAAAATCGTCTCGGGAAAATCTACAGAAGATTTTGAGTACAATTACATTAACAAAATCACTAATTGAACTTTTCAAATGTGTTTAGACTGCTTGTTTTAGAAACATATCAAATTTGCTTCAAAGTTGAAAGGTAAAAGGCTCAAAAATCTCCATGGAAAGTCCCCGTGAGATCAAAATCCAAAACCAGGTAAAATTTTGAGCTAATCAAGAAATTATAACCTAATCTAAAACCTCCATAACTACAAAGCAAAACATATTTTGAAAGGGGAAAACATGGGAAAGAAATTGTAAAATCTTCCATCACATAAACTTGGAAATCTTCTAAAAGTCACAACTTTGCACCAGAATTCAAAGCTAAAAATACTATGAAATTAGCTAAAAAAAAGAAAGAAGGAAAACCAACATTCATTTTCTTCTGTTTTGCTAAGAACATCCAGAAAATTGAATCTTGAGTAAATGATGATATGAAGCATAAGCAACCAAAGATGAAGATATCAAACTCTTCTAAAGCACGATTTTGTTATGTATACATAAATGATGATATGAAGCATAACCCAGATTTTCTTGGCAACCAAACAAAACCGACTAGAAACCAACCTCAGATACTTTTGAAACAGCTGCACCAATGATTCAGACGATCTTAGAATCATGTAATGAATTAACAGTATAGTTTGCAGTCGATGCTTGGCTTTTTCTCATGGATAAAAAACTGGAAGATAATTCTAACATGAAAAGCAAAATGAAAAGGTTCAAAATTACAAAATACATCCCCCCAGGTACCATGGTCCATGGAAACTGGAAAGTCAATATCATGTCTGAAACTTCCTTGACACCACCAATTTTTATTATTTATGACGCGATTTTATATGCTTTATTGGAATAAAAAGAAGATATGACATCTTGCCGTGCAAATTACAGGTTTTGAAAAGTCAAGTGGGCAATTCTCTCCTCTACTTCTGGTAAATGCGTTCACAAATATATTTTCTTTTTTGGATAAATTACGTATTTATTCCCCCATTAATTCTTACACTTCTATTTTAATCACTCAGCTATTTATTTTTTAAAATCACATATAACATTCCGTTTTTGGTCACCCGTTCCTAAAAAATAAATAGAAATGCTTATTTGTAATTTTTTTATTTTTCGATATAATGATGTGCCATTAATTTATGGTTACACGATGATATTATAGTCATTTTTTTAATAATAGGTGATCAAAATAAAATTAAAATGTAATATTAGTTATGCTTTTGAAAAAAAAAATTTAGGTGACCAAAATGAAACTAAAAAAATAAGTGGGTGACTAATACATAGTTTACCCAAAAAGAAAATATATTTGTGAACGTATTTACAAGCAAGTCTTACGAAATTGAGATAAACGGTTTAGAGGAGAGTCTAAAATATAACTTGTTAATATAAGGTTAAAAAGAGGTAAAAGTCGGTTTGTAATCGAAAATACTATCAAGAGTGTAATCTTTAGTTAGATATGGTAACACTTTAAGTTGAATTAAAAATATTACATTCTCATTTGCAACAAAAAAATTATTATAAATTCGTATAATTTTTTAGGTTGAATAAGAAATATTACTATCTTCGTAATTTTTCCAGTTACAACTAGAAATGTGATAAACTTATATAACTTTTAGTTAGATAAAATTATATTTTAAATTAAAATCAATTTAATTTCACCTTAAATTAAATTATTGCACGACAAATTACCTCTTATTTAGGATTCCGACTGAGAAACAAAAAATCATTCAACCATTTATAAAAAGTAATTTAAAATAATTGAACTTAGTCTTTTTATTATAATATTAAATAAATACACCAAGACACTCACTATTACAATCAAGTCAGAATTATTAAATAATATAAGTGGTCATTGTTTATTCACCATTTTTAGTATATAAGATCATATCATAATCTATAATGATCTTAACAAAATATACATGAAATAATTGATGACAATCTTTTAGTAGTTTGAGATAATTATTAGACGATATATGTTCGTAATCTTAATAATATATATATAATAATTATTAACAAAATTTTAAATTAGGTTGCAGTTATACCCACCCTTGGTCATAAATTAATGAAACCTGCCTTTTCAAGAATTTGTCATAAATTTATTTATAAAAAAGTTGACTTTTTCCATAGTTTTTGGCATCAAATTTCAAATAAGCAATTGCAATGTATAAAATAATAGAAGAATGATGATGAACTGTACTTTATTATTACAATATTCACATTGAGTCAAATTGTCAAATATTAATTAATGTCATGGTTATGTCAAAAAAAAAATTCATATAATGGTCAAAAATTATAATTAATCCTTTTCTAAATTTTAATATTATCAATTTACATTTTTTATATAAATTAGAGTGAGCTTTTAAGTGTATTTAGAAATTGTATTTAGATGTTGATGGTTTTTAATAATTCAAGAGAAGTTATCGTCAAATGTCAACGAGTTTAATTTCAAATAAAATTTATCGTTATTTACCAATAAGTTTGGCCTTCAAGGAACACCTAATGGTAATTCTAGGGATTTGTCTTTAATTTATCCATCGACGATTTTTGGAAGACAATATCATATTTAGGGATGGGCATGACTTGAATCCGACATGTTCCGATCCGACCCGACCCTATACGATCGGGTCGAGTGTTTAAAAAAAATCCAGGTTCAGGTCGGGTTGGGTTTTTTAAATGTAATGTTTGGGTCGGGTTAGGTCATATTCGGGTTTAGGGTAAAAAATACCCAATCCGAAAAAAATATAAGTTTACCTTATATATTTATAAATAATTACAATAATACCCCTCTATATATTATTATTTTTAATTAAATCATTGTTTTTATTGAATAAAAATAATATTTTTTTTATTTCGGGTCATGCCGGATTTGATTCGTATTTTATCTCAAAAAGTCGGATCGAATTTGGATCTGGTGGAGCGTATATATTTTTCGGATCGGGTTGGCCGAAACCCGACCCATGTCCATCCCTAATCAAATGTCGCTAATTTCAAATTTTTAGATTTGGATTAATAGTAAATATTAATAGTCCACCTAAGAAAATTCTCATTCTATGACTAATTTGGATGGATTGACATATTTTTGTATGAAAAATGATAGAACTAAAAGACTTGTGTTTGTTTGATATTCACTCTTTCACCTCTCTTATATGCATTCATTTTTTCTTTTAATGCCTTAATTTTCATGAAAAGGGTTAAGGAAATAATTTTAAGTATAAAACTCAAATACATATTTGATGTATTAATAGTACTCGTATTTATCAAATTAATAGTATTAAAATTTTAAAAACTTTGAGATTTTATCTTTATATAAATTTAAATTAATAGTTTTATATTGTTATAAGTTGTGTGGATTCAATTTTTTCAAAAGAAAAATACATATATTGTAAACAGGGAGTGAAACATGATTTTATGTTAGTGGGGTGAACTTTTAAAATGTTAGAAATGAATAAAATTATAAAATTTCAAGGGACAGAAACATATTTTCAATAGAAAGTGCATAGAAAAAATAAAAGATATATGATTATTTTAAATTTTCAGGGAGCAACCGCCCTCCTCAATACATCATTAACTGTAAATAATGATATACTATTAAAATACTTGAAGTTTGAGAATTAAAGTTGTTGTTAATCTCCACTAAAATTAATCTCTTGTTGTTAATGTTAAAGTAAATAACTATAATCTTATAGAATGTGATCTAAAAAATTAATTATTATCCTATTAATGATGAACACATATCAGATAAATTCAAAATAGGCGTGAAAATGAGCCGAAAATTATTTCTCAAAAAGTTGCAAGAAAAATACCATTTACTTGTTTCAAAGTTCTTAGTAGGGATGGCAACGGGCCGGGTTCGGGCCGGGTATTGGTCCCCCCGTCCCCGTCCCCGTTTAAAAAACCGGTACCCGTCCCCGTTTAAAAAACCGCGGGGATTTAAACGGGGATCCCCGTCGGGTAATCGGGGAAAACCGCGGGGAAACGGGTATCCCCGTTTAGCATAAACGATTATTTAAACGGGTATTGGGCCGGGTATTGGGTCGGGTATTGGGCCGAGAATCGGGTCGGGTATATATATATATATATTTAAATTAAATATATAAATATATATTTTTTATTTAAATTAAATTTATTAATATATATATATATATATATATATATATATATATATATTATTTTTAATATTTATCGGGTCGGGTATCGGGGCGGGAAATCGGGGCGGGTAATCGGGTAATCGGGGCGGGGATTACCAAACCCGTCCCCGTCCCCGTCCCCGTTTAAAATAAATGGGTTTTCCCCGTCCCCGTCCCCGTCCCCGTTTATCATCCCCGAACCCGACCCGTTTAATTCGGTTTTCGGTTTTCCCCGTCGGGTTTGAGTTTTTTTGCCATCCCTAGTTCTTAGTGGGTTGGAGTACAAAGAAGTTTCTAACCGTTGGGCTAAAGAAGAAAGGTAAACTATATGTTTAGTCACCCACTGTTATCGTGCTTTTGTTTAAGTCATCCAACTATAAAATTTATTGATTTGATCATTAAAATTTTGAATTATACTCATTTTATTCAGTCGACCGTTAATTGTTTAATACCAACGTCAAAAATATTATTCACGTCTCTCACGTTTTCAATAAATAACATTCTCTCTACTTACCCTATTCATCCGGCGTTCAACGTAAAATCAAATAATCAAAGGATGGTTCTAATATCACACTTATCACATGATCATTATTTTTAAAAAAAGATATAAATGATAGGATATGTAATATCATCGGTTATAAACTTAAAGATCTCTAATTTTTTTCCGGATGTGGAATTTAAATCTCTACCTCTACAAGGTGTAACAAATGCGCTATGCATTTATATTGATTGAGATTAATATGTATGAAAATAATATTATTTATAATAAATCCAACAAATGTAAAAAGGATAAAAAATGTTCTTAGGACAAACTTGGATATCAAGAAATTAAACGATAGTTTCGGGTGTAGACTTCAGTTCCTATCATTGATCTTCAAGATTTATCTCTTTAAAAATCGATTTGAACTTTAGATTTTTTTTTTCTTCAGAAAATTTGTTACTCGAATTTTAATCGTTAATAAAGTGACTTATCTAGACAATTTTTGTCTGAAATTCAACTTAGTTAATGTTGAAACATTTTGATATTTCGATATAACAAATTAAGTTAAATGGATTTTAAGATTGTCCAAATGATTTTCTAAGTATATTCGATATAACTATTCGAATATCAAAACATTACTCCAAATATTTCAAAAATCATTTTTAATCCTTACTTAAGTGTAAAATTAAGTTTTAATCATAAAACAATTTCAAAATAATTTTACAAAGTATTTCGAACCAATTCAAAGTCAAAAATTCCAGATTGCTCAGAGGGAACCGATTCCCCTCCATAGGAGGAACCGATTCCCCTCTAAACAGTTTTGTTCCGAGAATTCCAGTATGCTCGGAGGGAACCGATCCCCCCCAAGGGGGTACCGATTCCCCCCTTGTACAACGGTCGAAATATTTGAATTTTACACTTAGGAACCGATTCCCTTCAAGGGGGAACCGATTCCCCCCACACTCCAAGCTGTTTTATTAAATGTTTTCACACTAAAACGGCTATAATATCTTCTCTAATCATCCCCAACGTTCAGAAGTGATCCAAGGTGTATTTAAGCAAGCTTAGAAGCCATTGATCAATA